TCCACTTACAGCATACATTATAATGAGTTGCACTGAAGGAGCGAGAAATAATGGATTGTCAGTGATGAAACGTGTCCTCAAGCTACTTTGCTGAAAATGGAGATGAGAAAACTCTGGTGAAGCTGGAAATCCTTTGGAAGAAGTAAATAATCTCCTTTATTACACTCAGCTCTGCTACTTTTGGCTTCAGGTCTGGAGCTTTTAATGGCCAAGGATAAATACACAGACAGACACACACACACACACACACACACACCAACCAGTATTTTCTTTAGTGGGGAAATGAGCTGCACTACTGTGAAATAGCACCCTGATGTAACTGGATGGTTTTCTCCATGTGCTCTGAAATCTCGTTTGCTTTGCATCAACACAAGGACTCATAATCATACATCCTTTTTACACCACAGAGGCAGTGGAGCGTTGGCCTGTCGGGCAGTAAAGTGTTGCTTCCCAATATATATGTACGGTATTGTCTTTGGGTTACCTCTCGCTAGTCAGAGTTTGCATTGTGTCTAGTTTTCTTGGTTATTTTCCATTCAGAGCAGCTCGGGTTTAGGCGAGATTTTAAATCGCTTTTATCATCCGCCATTTCTTATCTTCTCTCCACCTTTCATTTCTTCACTTTACATCCAGAAGAACTCATCAATCGCCTAGCAACAAATGTGCTTATTCCATTTCCTCTCACTCCGGCGGCTTGTTAGAGACGGATGAGGAGGTCATCAGCAGATATATAGTTTTCATTCATTTCCTTTTAATCTTGCTTGATATGCTCATTTTTCTTTCCTTCTCTGTGCTTTTTTATCTGGCCTCTGTCTTCTCTCAGTTTTGTCCTTCAGCCAGTTTTATCAGTCTAACATGTTTATTTTTTCCTGTCAAGCTAAGGGCATCTATTCTGTGTTTTTAGTAATGTGAAGACTTCATTATCCTTCTTCACTTGTTGTTATTTTTATGACCATTTTCTCTGTTTAAGTGCATTTAAAGAAGATTGCATCTGAGGTGATGTTTCTGAATGGATTTCATCACATGTAAACTAAAGAAAGCTCTTTTCTAGGCTGGCTTCTTTTCCAGTAAGGATTAAATGGTCTAAACCACATAATAATTTCTTCTGTTTGTGGTGGGTGGTCTTTATCACATTGTTAAAATGCTAATATGAAATCCAAACTAGTAAAACAATTCACAGGATTTGAACGCTGGGTATATAAAATGATTGGACCCTCCGCACTGTCACATGTAGATTTCTGACTTACAGCCTAGTAGGCGGCTCCCAGCACTGCTATCTTGGCTGGAGCATCTCGTCACTCTTGTAAAATACAGAAATGAAGCTGAGAGTGGGGCTGAATGGGTGGGGCAAATGATTGAAACCCATCAAAATCTGAGTTGATGTAGCTACGAGCTAACCTAAGCTAACAGATGTTGGCGGGCTTTATTTACATCTAAACGAACGAGTTACAAAACCATTTACCCCCATCAGTCATCATGATGGTAAACCTGACTTACTATACCTAAAATATTTTTTGAACCAGGCTGTTAACATATTTAATTCTGCTGTGAAGTTAGCATTTTTACCATTGGGAGTCAGTGGGAACTTGATCTAGTCCCTAGTGGTTGAAAGTGGAACTGCAGTGTTTGTCACTTCCTCATTGGCTTCACTTTTGGCAGGCAGAGTTTGCCCCTTGGATTTGAGCATTTAATTGTATAATTTGATAAATAGGCCGCAAGTATACTTTTTAAATGTAATCATTTTAGTTTTTCAGTCAAGTGCTCTTTGGTGTCAAATGAAAGTGGATTTTAGATTTGGTATTCTTCACAATACCTTAAATGTCTTTGTTCTTGCAGAACTTTGGGAGCTGAATCATCTCTGCATTATGTGGTTTTTTCTGGCAACGTGTAAAGTAACAAATAGTGGAGTTTTGTGTGAACATCTGAGATTGTCTGGCAAGAAAATAGATGCCCTTAATCAGTTAAACAAGAGCTGCATCGACCATGTTAAACCATCCTAATCTCAACTGTCAAAACTGCCACTGGTTTAGCAGATTTCTAACATCCCTGTTACATTCAATAGCCGGAGCATAATTAAGGAAGTGAAAATAGAATTAGTACACTCTTTACTGCCAGGAAAGATGTTTATAATCTACTTGTCTTTTAGTTTGCAAATGGATGAATTCCAAATTTCTAAGACTTTCAGTCTATCAGACCCAAGCACACTTTGTTTCCCTACTTTAGTAGGACGTTGGCCTAGTGACTGAAACACAAGAAGGATTTGCTTTAATAATTTCTACTTGGGTCCTGGTGTAAACTCCGGTGAAGTGGAGATTTTAAGATGTAGCTGTTTGGTTGTTTAACTTTGATAGTTTTGGTGAAAACACAGACTAAAATCTTGACTTAAACTGTTAGCCCAGACCTTTAGGAAAGGATTTCTTTGAAAATGTTATTAAAGGGCTTGTTTACTAAGAAACCATGTATTACTTTTCTATTTAAAATAGGATCAGTCACTCTGAGTTGCATGAGCATAAAAAAAGTGAACAAAGGCAGTGGAAGAGTCACGTTGCAGTTAGCCAATCAGAGGCGGAATGAAGGGAATCCATCTTGTCCGCAAAGTATCCTTCTTGTAGCGTGTCACAAATTGTTGTTTCACCCACAGTCACAGAGACTGCATGTCAAAATCTGATTACAGCCACGGCTTCAGCATCTTGCTAGCCTAGTGAACTAGACCAAATTCTTGCTTTGCAAAGTTTGGTCTAGGCATGCTCCACTGGAACCTCTGCAGCCCCAACAGCATTCTGGCTGGCCAATCACAGCTCTCTAGAGGGGTTTCAAACACATAAAGAGCTGTGATTGGTCCATAATGGTGGGCCAATCATAGTGCTCTATCTGCTTAGTGAACAAATCACAGAGCTTTATCCGCTTTGTGGGCCAATCAGGGCACTCTATATGCCTGGTGGGTGGGATGATGCAACAGAGTGAAACAAGAGTATGTCACATTCATTGTCCAGTGGAACGCGGAGATCATTTGAAAGACAACGGTAGAACCCGCCCCACAACCGAGAGCCGTCAATGGAGCGTGGCCAGACTAAATAATACATTTATTTAGTCTGGCTTGCCAGGCTAGCATCTTGCAGCAGTTTAAAGGAGATATCTGGGATATTTCTTTTATCTGATGGCATCATCTAGTGGCTCACAAGCATATCACACCAAGACGTTTTCACTTTCGTATTTACGGCTGAAAGCAACTCCTCACGTTTATGAACGTGCTCCTCTAGCCAACAAAACAGAGCTATTGCTTTACTATTATTATGCTCATGTTAAGTTGTTTATTCATATATTTATATTTTAAAGGCATGAGAAATGTCGACATCGCTGCATGAACTGAGGTACGTCCTTAAACGCTCGAGCATGCTCTGTCATTGACGTCTGTATGAAAGCGGTAGCCTAACGCTATTCGTTAGTGCTGACCAGCCCTCAGTTCATATTGCATGGAGCTGCATGGGATAGGCGGTGGGCTTAGCAAAAAAATTAAATAGACAAGTTTCCTAAATTATATCACAGTACATGGAAAGACAATCACTTTTATGGATTTTGAATAAATTATATTTCCTGAAAGGGGAAAACTCTGGATTGCAGCTTTAAGCGTTGTCAAGTAAGGGAAAAAAAATCACTAAATAATGCAGTTGCCTGTCAATGACTTTAGCATATTTTTCTCCTTTTAACTTTTACAATTATTTCCAGAGACTTGTTGTGTTTGTGACTTGAGTTTGAAGTGTTTGGATTTTAACATAAAAGCCATAAAAAGTATTCAACCCCATTAAAATATAACGTTATCAACATAAATAGTTTTTTTTTCTGTTAAGAAATGGCCACGAGTAGCCTATGCTATAGCCAGACTCAGTTTCAAAATATAACTGTATAGCAGTGATTGTGAAAACACCCGGGGCATTAGTGAAGTAAGCTATTTTAATAATGTCCAACTAAAACTTATAATAGTCGGACATGTTGACCAATGTGCTTCTCCTCTAAACTTGCAAAGATGTTGTCATCAAAGAAACTTCTGAAAGACCACAAACCACTGTCTGTTGACTATTTGCACAAACTGCTATGACTTCTTTTAGAGATTAGGGTTGCTTTAAAACTAACTGTAATTTTTTAAACTCTGTAATTTATCTCTCTTATAATAGTCATTGGCTCACCTGTATGATTGGAAATAATCCCTGTTTCTCCAAACCAAGGCAGTTCACAGGATTTTTTTTTACAACAGATGAGGTCTCAGTGGTACAGGACACACTTTATGTTGCATTTTTTTCACACATGACAAGATTATGATTCTGTCAGCTGTCCTACGGCCTGCCAACACCTCGTTATGTTAAGCACTTTGTCTCTTGTGTGTCAGATAGATTTTTTCACATGTGGAGTATATTTCAGTGTGCAAATAATCCCTATTGATGGATTTGTTTTAGCAAACTGTGCTCCTGCATGCTCGCATGCAGATGCATAAGCATTAGGCGCCCTGCGGTGCCATTGTCAACTCCAAATCCTCTCCAGGTGATGTTTGGGGCTCAGAGTGCAGGTGTCATTTCCATTTCAGAGAGCTCCTTTTTAAGTGCACATGAAAGTGTTTGTGGTGGCCTTACACGTTGCTTTTATGTGTTTGTGTCCGTGTTTTCTGCTGTCCTCTGTGTAAATCAGCAGAGCAGCATAATCGCTTCGGTCCTGTGGGTTTTAGACCCGGCTACATTATCTGTGAGTTCATCAGTCAAGCTGCTGGGGTGGCAGAGAAACAGTGACTCAGTAAAAACTTCTTTAAATATGCATGTTGTTTTAGAGATGGTTTATTTATGAGTGGATGTGTGTGTGTCATGATGTATGGGTTTCTGGAGTGTAAGGAAGCAAGCTGAGTAAAGTGCAACAAGAAGGATTTTGTTGGGTTAAAGTGGCCGCTGGACAGACACGAGTTTGTGTGAAAGAATGACTGTTTAACTACAATCGTATTTCTGTCATTCCTCCAGATTTTGACCCTAATCTTGGGATTATGGCTGGAATTACCCCCATGAACCCCATGATGCCTGGCCTCAGTATGGTGCCTGCACCCGTCTCCCAGGACATACCTGTAATAAAGGAGATCGTCCACTGCAAAAGCTGCACCCTCTTCCCCCCCAACCCCAGTAAGTCATGATCACACCGGTTCTACTTGGGCCATCACTTCAGTCATGCTTCCTCCAGCTCAAGTATTAATCAGCAAAGTCATTCTGCAGACAGAGTCTAAATAAAAGGCTTGTTCAACACATAAATGTGCTATTATCCTCTCCAAAAATGTTATAAATAAATTATTACTCATCAAAAGTTAAAAGGAATGGTCTGAAATTCCTATTGTGTTTTAGATTTGACCACCAAATATTAAATTTTCATCCTTTAAGAGGGAAAAAACCATGAGACTACAAACATCTGACATTCCAGTAAAATTGACATTTCGTCAAGTGAAAAAGAGAAATGCACTTTTTATTTAGGAAAGTTTAATTTTCTTTTTACTAAAGTAATCATTTTCATTCTAAACATTTAACAGCTTCACTCTGCTCACTGCTCTCAACACACTGTGAAAAAATGACAGAGTGAGTTATTGCACACATCAGATTATTTCTTTCTTTGAGTGATTCATCTCTGCAGAGATTTGAGGTTATGTATTCATAAGATGTCCTGCCTCAGACTTTTATTAAAATTTTATTTTATGCTGAAAATATTATAAACAGACAAACTGAGGAATCTTCAGGGCAGCTTGCTGTATAATTTGACTGGATGTGTGCTGTGCAGACCATTGTGTAGGTTTCAAGTAAACAGCACCTCCTAAATATTCATAGTGAGGAGCAAAGAGCTTTGGGGGTGGTGTTTTGATTGATCCCACCTTTGCTTGTCACATTTACATCTACTCTAGGTACATTTATTTTCCCAGCTAAGATTATGGATCATCTTCAGGGTAAATTTAATCAAAATATCCTCATCATAGCTACGTTTAGGACTATGTATATTTTGGCTTAGTAGAGTAAAGTACAGATAAAATAAGCTTATTAAAAGTTAACTTCATCTGCAAACATTCTCTATCCAGTTTTGTGGCATCAAGAGGGATATGAACTGCTGAAGAGAACTTATATACCCTTAGGCAAAATAAAGAACCAGCTTGGCAGGAAAAGAACTTCCACCACTTTTAAGATTGTCATGATCACTATTTGACACTAGTGAAATGTTTGCCTCTGTCAAGAAATTCATACGATTAGAAAATTTGATATTTGAACATAAAACCATGTTTCAGTTCTAATCCTCATCATCACATTAATTCAGTCAACACCTTTGTCCTTGTCCACAGTTCACACCAGGAGCGTCTGCGGCGCAATGCAGCGGCGGTACATCTCTGCATCAAACAGAAGCCGTTATTGTCTGTGGCTTGATTCGTAGTAGATGCGTCACATGGCTTAAATAGGATTGGGTTTTATTTTTGCGGCGATACGCCTTAGGGACCCATCAAGACATTCACGTAGGGCTAGACAGGAATGGTATCAGTGTGAAGCATCTGATAAATAAAAAGTTTTTGCCAAATTATGGTTCCTTCACTATGCAGACATTACGTCTCTACCTCTACCAAGTGGCTCATTTGCTCTCTGCATGTTTTGAGAGAAAAGATGTATTTTTCTGCATGGATGTGGCTTTAATCCCAGCAGTGGAGAATCACGACAACATTATTTATGACACCGCATGCCCGTTTTTCTTAGACAACATCAAAATGCTACATGAAATATCAAATATTATGGAAGTTGATGGTGAGTTAAAAAATGTATTATGAAAAAATATAGTTGTTTTTAAGCATGCATCAATTATCCCATGACCTAGAAATTCCCACTACACAGACCGAGGCTGAGCCGCTCCACGTCGGATACACTCCTGGTGTAAAATAACAGGGATCAATGTGTCAGGCGTACTTTACCTATTTACTATTTACTATGAAAGCTAGACGTTAGACTAGTTATCTCTGAGTCAAAGTGACCACACAGCCACCAGTGGTTTTAAATTTAGTCCAACTTTTCTTTCTATATCCTACCGTGGTGATTATTTTTTCAGTCGTTTTTGATTTCTTGAAATAACCTCAACTTGCTGTTTTGCAACCTACAGTTGGGTCGTGACCCTAACTTTGGTAACCGCTGCTCTAATGCGTATCTTTTTCAACAATAATTTTCTATTCATGGTATCTGGTTGGATTTTCTATAAACGAGAGCAATCCACGTCAAACATCTTTGCGTGTTTACAGGATGTCTCTAAATGCAGGTACTTAAGCAACAAATTCCTCTGTTTGGGTGATTAATCAGCACCAGAGGGATATTTGATCATCTGTCGGATTTGGCGGAACCAGCTGAGTCAGTTGCAAACTGACAGTTTTGCAAGGAGGCTCCACACCTGAAATCCAGTAGCGTAGCTGTGTGTAGGTATTTGCAATTCTGATTTAAGCATCACAGCGCTACACTGGTGTACTTTGCCACTAAGGTTTTAAATACCCGTGACAGCTCTCTGTCAGAGAAAACCAAGCTTATGGATAACAGGTGTTTCAGTACTTAGGGCTATTACACTAATGCCATTTCTAGATCCATGTTTATTTAAACCTTCACACGCTGTAGTCCATCTGACGATATCTTTTCATTTTTCAGCTATTAAAAAGTCTCTCTTTGGGCTTACTGGGACCATTTCAGAAGACTGGTGGTTACATTCCAACTTTCTTATCTGTACAAAGAAGAAATAACTTCCTTGATTTTAAATTCTCTGTTTTCTTCCTGGTAGTGTTTACTACAATAAACTGTTAAAAAATATTTAAATAAAATATGAATTATGGGAAGACCTGAAAAACAAGTGCAGGATGAGACTGTGAAGTCACTAAACAGAGTCACATCACTGTTAACAAGTGAGCCACCTTTTCTGTCACTGAATAAACAATCGATGTGTTTGGGGACAAAAGAAGGAGAGAGAAAAACATGCGAGTGAGATCATCAAGTTTTAAGTGTTGGTGCAAAACTACTTTTCCATAACACCAGTCACAGTTTTAAACTTTTGAAGGTTTAATATCTTTTCATTTAAAAAAAAAAAACAATTCAAACTAAACCCAACAAGTTATTATGAACTCTCCACCTGAGAAATCCTGAAGATCTATAGTTAATTGTGTGTATATGTATATATATATATGTATATATATATATATATACATATATATATATATATATATATATATGTATATATATTTATATATATATATATATGCATACATACATATATATGCATACATACACACATATATATATATATACATATATATGTGTGTATATATATATATATATATATATACATTATTATTTATCAACCATTATTGTTCATTTAGCCATATTGTTATTTAATGATTATTTAACTTATGAGTTGTAAAAGTCACTTTATTCAGAGGCATGAGGAATCCTGTAGAAGCGGTAAGGGGAGCTTAGGCCTTCAACCGGGAACAGTTTGTTGACAACATGTTATGATGTGTTCTGAGCTACAGAATCTTCTGGGCTTGTTGGGAGATATAATGTAAAATCCACCTTAGAGAATGGAATTTATGTCTGCAGATGACCAGTGGCATGTAGGTCAATCTGTAGGTGAAAACTGACCATTTCTGGACGTTACACACACACACACACACACACACACACACACACACACACACACACACACACACACACACACACACACACACACACACAGGCAGTGATAAGGCTGAAGGAGAGATGCTAGATCTAACCTTATTGACTTTGTCCACAAAGAAAAACAGAAAGTTCTCACAGTCTGCAACAGAGTGGATGGAGGCTGTAGGAGAGGCAGGAGAGACGATACTGCTGATGGTGTTAAACAGCACCTTGGGGTGTCTCATTTAAAGGGAACACATGCAGTCTTGTGTCTCCTGTTTGACCAGATTTTGAAAGGTTAAACTGTACCTAAAACTGACCATTGCTGGACGTTACACACACACACACACGACCAAACTAGTTAACTCTATGAAGACCTCTGCATGCCCCCTCGACATCACCCTCATCTTTGTTTAAAAGTGCTTTTCAGTCCATCAATCCCAGCGTGCTCTCTATAATTAATGCTTCTCTGGTTTCTGGTCAGGTCCCTGCTTACTTTAAGAACGCTGTAATCCACCCGCTTCTTAAAAAACCGAGTCTCGACCCCTCTCTCCATAGCAGCTTCAGACCCATCTCTAAACTTCCGTTCATCTCCAAGATCTTGGAAAAGGTTGTGGCTAAACAACTCACAGCTGCTCTTGATGAACATAACATCTATGATAGCTTCCAGTCAGGTTTTTGTGGAGCTCATTCTACTGAAACAGCTCTTCTTAGGGTCTCTAATGACCTTCTGACTCACAGTGATGCAGGGGACTGTTCTGTTCTGGTCCTGCTGGATCTGACTGCAGCCTTTGACACTGTTGACCATCACCTGCTACTGGAGAGGCTGAGAGACTGGGTAGGCCTATCAGGATCTGCTCTGGAGTGGTTCTCCTCTTATCTTTCTGAGCGCTCCTCTTCTGTGGCAGTCTCCAAGTTTCGGTCCTCCACCACCTCTCTTACCCATGGTGTCCCACAAGGTTCTGTGCTGGGGCCTCTACTCTTCCTCCTATATCTGTTTCCTCTTCAGCACATCCTGAGCTCCTTCAAAGGAATCTCCTACCATCTTTATGCAGATGACATCCAACTGTACATCTCTTTTAAGCCCCATGAGATATCTAAGCTTCAGCTGTTACACACCTGCTTAGACTCTATCAAAACCTGGATGGCTGGGAGCTTTCTTCAGCTGAATGAAGATAAGACTGAGATCCTCATCTGTGCCCCAGACAAGCTGGTTCCCAAAGTCAGAGACTCTCTTGGTCAGCTTGCTTCCCACACCAAACCTTTCGTCAGGAATCTTGGCGTGACCTTTGACCCTGCTCTCACCCTGGATTCTCATGTCAGTTCTCTTGTTCGCTCTTCCTTCTTCCATCTCAGGAACATTGCTAAGCTGAGTCCCATTCTGTCTCGCTCTGAACTTGAGACAGTTCTCCACACCTTCATCTCCTCATGCTTAGACTACTGTAACTCTCTTTTCACGTGTCTGAGCAGAACCTCCC